TTGAATGCACAATCATTAAATCATACTCAAGAACTAATGATATGTAACATAGGATGTACGCGTCAAAAGTAACTCATCTTCCACTATGACAGCCTCCTAGTTTTGGTATGGCATTATAGCAACAACAACAACAACAACAACAACAACAACAAAAACCATTCCTGATAACTGATCTTTGTGCTGGGAAGGTCTGAAAGTTGGAAAGTTTTTTGTTCTTTCTTTTTACCTTCCTTTGCTAAACTAAGACAAGAAGTAAGTTTTAAGTAAATCAAAAAGCGACACGTTTTACAGTAGCCTAATACATTAACTTCCCTACATCTTTTCCAAAGCTATCTTAACAGAACTAAGCAGTACTTACACAGTAGTTCAGGCGCTGGAAGTTACATCGGCAGTTTTATTCTCAATCCTTTTTCAATAATTTCTACTACAGAATTCTTTTTTGTTGCATATTATATCACCACTTTATTTAATCTTCCCAATGCAAGATTTTTTTTCTTAATCAATCACTGCTAGCTGCAGTCCCATTAATATGTGTGAAATTTAGAAGTTTTGCTCTAATATGTATGATTTGAAAAGTCCTTACCCTGAAGTATACTTGCCACTTTAAAACCTATTCACCCATTTTAATGTGCCATCAAAGCAATATAGACATATTTATGTGCAATTAAACCTGTAAGAGCAGATATTCTTACATGCTTCACTGCATATAAATATGTCTATTTATAAATTTATAATATATATGGAAATAAATGCAAGCCAGCCCCTGCAACAATGGCAACATTTCAAATCTTTCATTTTCACACTAGTTATAAAACTAAAAACCAAAAACCATTCTTTGTTCCATATGTGTCATCTTGTTCTCAAGACAACTACTGCTAAATCAGGATAATTTGGAAGTTATTCTAGCCTCTGGCTCACATTTCAAATGTTGTAATCAGGGAGAGAAGCTGTCTCTTCTCCATACTGAAACTGAAAAGGCTTCGTGGATAAACCAAACCCTGACCCTCCATCTGTTTCACCTTTAGGTCCAGAGGAGTCAGGAATTAATGGCTGAGGTTTACTGTAAAAGAGCTCCTTAGAAAACTAGACAAAACAGGGATATTCTCAGACGTGGGAAATAAATTCAGTGTTCTACTGGGTCAGGATAGTCCCAAATGACTCTAGACCCAACCTTAGTCCTTTTGAGATTATCTGGAATGCTGTAGATCTTGCAGAGTAAATGAGTATAGGAAAAATCTACATGATTTGGCTGACTTAGTAAATGTTCCTTTTACTATTTGTTGATTAAAGCATTTCAAAGAGGCAATCACCTCAAAGCATTGTTTTTTCCAAGGACAATCCTAGCACTGAAGTGCATTTTGGATCTAAATTCAAGGCCAAAATCAGTGAGGGAGAACTCATGTGAATATACATTGGTGTCTGTGGGCTACACACGGGGATAGATGGCTTTCTCTTGAAGACTATTCTTGCTGCCGTGGTTGAACAAGATTTTGACACAGAAATTAAGATGGTTTCTCTAAAACAGCCACAAGTTCTTCAGTGACACTTCACACTTAGTTCCAGGAAAGTGGCCATGCAGATTCTTTGGTCTTCAAGAAATATAAGGAAGCCTGGCCACCATGATCCTCCTATGACTCCTTTCCTTGAAGGTGGGACTAACGAAGGGCAGAACTCAGTTTCATTTCTTGGGGCTGAGAGGGCCAAGTGGGGAACCCTGCACATAGGTCAGGATGGCATTTTGAAGGAAACTGGCCCGCTGAGCTTCCTCTTCCCTTATCCTGGAGATTTCTGCCTCCCGAACCCGTAATTTCTCAAGCAGGCTGGAGATTTCGCCCTCTTTGTCCAACAGTGCCTCCCGGTGGTTACTGGACAACACTAGAAAAAGAAAAAAAATGAAACACAAATGCATTTAGCCTTTTTTGACTCAAGATAATGAAATCCTTTAAAGGCAGAATATATTTTACATGCTTCAAGAGAACTACATGATGTTACATAATTTCTTAGATGATTGAAACATGGAGATGATGTCATTGTCTAAATTTAGAATGAAAGAGCAATCTAACCGGGATACGTTAACTGTGGCCAATTTCTTCCTAAGATACCATTAGCATGGCAACAAAAAAGATTTGTAGCATTATTGAGGAGTATTGGGCTTCAAGGTTTAGTGATTGTGGTTCATCAGCAAGAATGGGTGGTATCTTTAGAGTCAAGGTGGTCTGGACCCATGACTATAAAGACCACGGCCCAGTCAGTCTGTCCTTGCTTAGTTGACTATGGTCTGACCACCCTGCCACTGAAGATGCCAGCCGGAGTTGCTGGCAAAATGTCAGAAAATCTGTTGCTTAGACCATAGCCACTGAATCCTGAGGTTGCCCAGCAGATACCACCTGTGAAAGCCTACACCAGTACATTATCAATTAATTCCTCAGTAAGAAATCAAACGGGAAACCGTTCTCCAGCCAAAGAACTGAACTGGCTTTCAGCAAGGAAAAAGGATGGGATGCTACAGGCAAGGAGATGGAAAAAGCGAGACATGAGATATCTGTGGACCAGATAAACCAAAAAGCCCCCATGACTTTTATCTAGAATTGCAGACTTAATGATGTTTGACAAGTGAAGATGGCCTGTAGGAATTACAATGGTTGGCCACCCAGTCAGCCGGATGTTTAGACTGGATTTGGCATTTTTGTTCACATCCTTCCCAAGGACCTGGAATAGGCAGATATTGTTTAATAATATTAATGGTATTGTCACAGGATGAAAGCTGTTTCAAGGAAAGCTGTCATTTGCAATTGACTGATAGTGATTTTGTCAATGCCCAGAATGTTCAAGTGGTTCTCTAGATGCAACCGAGGGACACTTTATCATTGGTAGCGTTTTTGCTTTCTTTTATTACAGCCACTCTATTTGCATGGTTTATATTTTGTAATTTTCTTCTTTGTCCGATTCTTTCTCTTCTGCTATTTCCAGGAATTCAATGTCCATGACATAGACATTTTGTCTTTCTTATCAACAATTGTTAAGTCTGGGGTGTTGTGTGGCAGATGCTTATTATTACTTATTATTACTGAGGTTATCTCTCTGAGCTTGGTTGTCTTCTTGCAAATATTTCATTACTCAAACTAACTAATATCAGCAATGATCATCACTACGACATTCAGCTTCCTTCCTCTAGTTGTTCTGACCTAGGCTTCCCGAGACAGTAAAAACCACACGTTTAGTCCCCAAAACCCTCTTTTTATTTCAAAGGCTGTGAATTATGTTCATTCACAGCCCGTAATGAGTCACAAATAGTTTGTAAAGAGTCCAACAGAAGTCTGTCACAGTCCTTCAGGATAAGGCTGATAAGCACCCACCTTTATCTCCCTTGAAATGCTGCCAAAGACCTAATTGGCAATTAGCTTTGCAAGGCCACATGGAGCACAGAGTCAAAACAGGGCTTCAGAATGTAAACCAACTAGAATGAACAAAGTTGCTTCCTGCAAAAGCTCACGTGCCTTTGCTCCTCTTTTATGTCTTATGGGAGGGGCCACTCCTTCAAGCCTTACTCCCGAGTTGTCCCTTTTGTCATAACTGTTCTTGCTTTCTGGCAGCTCTGCGCATGCGCATACTGGGAACAGGCTCCCCCTGTTCCTCTGCCTTGCTGATGTCTGACTCTGGAGGCTCTGGAGATAGCACATACTATATTTTTCGGAATATAAAATACACCTTTCCCCTCCCCCTAAAAGAGGGTGAAAATTTGGGTGTGTGTTATACACTGAATGTAGCCCCACCCACCCAGCCTGTGTTAATCAGGCTGTTTGCTGTCTGCTGCAAGGAGGTAAGTCAATAACTATAAATACCTATAGAATGTTCAAATTATTAGAGATATTTTTAAAGACTTCTTTATTATTGTTCTAGACAGCTTAACAAAATGAAGAAGCTTTTTAAAATAAATGCTTGATCTGAAGAGGCCCAGAGCTATTGTATCTTATTTTAAATAGCAGAGAATAACTATACTACCAGAAAGCACATCAATTTTATCAGCATCTGTACAAGTATAGTCTGAAATGTAACACTACAAACAGTGTATATTGTCTGTACTGTTTGCTGTTTTTTTGCAAGGAGGCAAATTACTGGAAGGCAGAAGCAGATATTTTCCCCTTGTTTTCTTCCCCAAAAGCTAGGTGCATCTTATACTTCGAAAAAGACAGTAACTGCCAGATGGCCCTGGTCCCCTCTCTGCCTCTGACGCAGAGCCCTCGTCCGAGCCTTCTCCATACTCCAGGACTGGCCCATGTTCCTCCCCAACCTCCTCACTGTCCGATTCTGCTCCCGGCTCTGCAGGCCACCAGCAGACCACAACACTTAGTCAGATTGGGATGATAAATGGAAAAATGGAAGTCTCACCCTGCCTTTAAGGAAATGAGTTGCTTGGGTACTCCTTTCTCGCGTGCCAAAAGCATGGGGGGGGGGGAGTTCGTATGTAGGCATGCCCACACCCATAATTCTATGCGCCCTCCTCCCGCGCCTGCGCACACAACCCTCCTTACGCTTCTCATGCTTTTGGCATGTGATGAAATGGCGGACTCGGTTTTTACCTTCCCCAGGCTCCAGACTCTTTCTAGGAGCCTGGGAAGGACAAAAAAGGCCTTCCCCATCTGCACGGAGGCCCTCCAGAGGCCAGAAACAGCCTGTTTTCTGACTTCCAGTTTGCGTGTTGGTCAGTTTTTGCCCTCCAGAGGCTTTAGGGAATCCTCCTGAAGCTGCCACAGGGCGAAAAACAGGCCAACACGCAAACCAGAAGACAGAAAACGGGCTGTTTCCAGCCTCCGGAAGGCCCGTTTTCTGACTTCCGATGGGCCCAGTAGGTCTGTTTTTCACCCTCCCCAGGCTCCAGAGACTATCTAGGAGCCTGGGGACGGCCTCCTCAGGCCCCCTGGAGACCCTCCAGAGGCTCAATGTGCAAACCGGAAGTTCGGGAATGGACTTCCAGGTTGCCCAAAGGGCTGTTTTTTTTCCCCCTCTGGAAGCTTCAGGAGGCTTTAGGAGGCTTCTCTGAAGCCTCCAGAGGGTGAAAAATAGCCCAATGCACAAATAGAAGTCCATTCCTGAACTTCCGCTTTGCACACTGAGCCTCTGGAGGGCCTTCCCCAGGCTCCTAGAAAGTCTCTGGAGCCTGGGGAGAGCAAAAAATGGACCTACCAGGGCCATCGGAAGTCAGAAAATGGGCCCTCCAGAGGCTGGAAACAGCCCGTTTTCTGTCTTCTGGTTTGCGTGTTGGCCTGTTTTTCAGGGAAGCCTTCCGGAGGCTTCAGGAAAGCCTCTGGAGGGCAAAAAACGGCCAAAAATGGCTGAAATCAGCTGGCCAGCACGCATGGAGCTGACAGGCCAACGTCTTGCATGCTCTAAGAAATGGCTCCACGTGCCACCTGTGGCACGCATGCCATAGGTTCACCATCACGTCTAAAGAAACATCAAGAGATACAGGAATGTCAAAAGTATATCAACAAGCTGACAGAAATGCCAGGAAGCAGACATGGTGGCAGTGAGAAGTGGATGGAATCTCCCATTGGAGAAAAGGTCAAAGGTAGCCCAGTACTGCTGAGAAAACCAAGAGACCCAGCACCTGCCTCCTGTGTCCCTGCTCTCCCCTATGTTAGCTCCAGATCTGGAGCCTCACCTACGTTTCAGTTACAGTAGGTAAGGTATTAATTATGGGTGCAATATTATGGCACATCATACAAATTGCTGCAGGTACTTAAGTGGAAGAAAAATGGTGTTTCTACTTACCTTTCAGCTGGCGCTCAAGAGCTGCAATTTTCCCCCGCAGCCCTTCTTGTGCTGTTCTCTCAGCCTCCAGGTGACCAATTTGCTCCTGCAGCTCCACACGCACTTTGCTGACCTCAGAAACTTTCTCTTGTTCCTTAATGCCCAGCTCCTGCCATCCATAGCACACAGGGGGTGGGGAGTAATCAGCGGCTTGTGCTTCAAATGTTGGTACTACAGACAAAGTCACCATAATGGCCACATGGAGCACACCTTCACCATCAGCCCAACAACCCTGTATTTCTCCTGTGTCTCACGTTCCCTTTACCACTTTTGGGATATGTATGTTCCCAAATAAAATTGGGAGGCTGTCTAACCCCGTAGAGCACCTAAGCAGTTTTGGGTAATTGTGAAAAATAAAGGAGGTCCAGATGTTGCTTGTTACTTGGATGGGATACTGTCAGTAAATCTCTAATTTGTTCAGTAGAGGAGGAATAGCCAGTGGTAGGCTGCAACAGGTTTAACAACTGGTTTGGTGATTGGTGCTTCGCTCGTGTGCCCCTAACGCGCTTTCAATTTGAAACTCAGCTGCTTACCTTCTAAGGCAGCCCCGGAATTAGAACAGTGGAGGGGTGGAAATCAGCTGTGCCGTGCAAATCAGCTGAGCCAGAAAGAAGGAAATAAAGGATAAGACAGGGGCAGGGCCAGCTGATTATTGCTACTACCGGTTCACCTGAACCAGTCCGAACCAGCGGCAGCCCACCACTGGGAATACCACTCCCCACCCTTCATTTGAGAAGGCAGCAATGGGAAGCCACTCTTCACCATTGCCAAGAAAACTATGTGGATGGGTCAAGTCCCCCACCAAGAGTCAGGCTCAATTTAAAGGAATTCTTTAATTTTTATGATGGAGTTATGTTGAAACTGCTAGAGATATTGTGAGTATTTGAGTATGAAACAGGAAAGGTGATCTTCTCTAAGGTTTTGCCAAGAGGAATTGCAACTGCACCCACTACCAGCCAGTATCACCACTTTGGATTTGAATACCAGAATATCACAAAAAGTTCTTGGCTCAAATATGGTGCTTCTAAGATAAAAGGTAAAGGTTCCCCTCGGACCTATGTGCTAGTCATTCCCAACTCTAGGGGGCGGTGCTCATCTCCGTTTCAAAGCCGAAGAGCCAGGATTGTCTGAAGATGTCTCTGTGGTTATGTGGCCGGCATGACTAAATGCCAAAGGCGCATGGAAGGTTGTTCACCAAAGGTAGTTCCTATTTTTCTATTTGCATTTTTTACATGCTTTTGAACTGCTAGGTTGGCAGGAGCTGGGACAAATAACGGGAGCTCACTCCGTTACACAGCGCTAAGGATTGAAACCGCTGAACTGCCAACCTTTCTGATCGACAAGCTCAGCGTCTTAGCCACTGAGCCACCACTTCTAGGAACAGAATAAACCCCACAAATGTTAGGACTTATATACTATAACCATTGTTTACAGCCTGCAACAACCAGGTATTATACCAGAGAACTTTCCTGGAGGCAGAAGAAACTACTCAAAAGATGATATTTGTTAATTAGACAATTTACTTGTTTCACATGTTTTATAAAATAGTCTATTATCCCTTGCTTTGCAGTGTGGAGTCCATAATCTAGGAGCATTTGAACTTTGACTTTTAAAAAAAAACATGCCATATGTCTATTCAGAAGAGCCTGCAGATAGTTCTCAAGTTACAACCATAATGGAGTCTGCCTATCAAGGTACTAACTCATGATGGTCATAAAATGGGTTGGTCAGATAACTCACCTTACGACCTTTCCTGCAGCAGCTGTTAAACAAATCACTGCAGTCTTTAAGTAAGCCAATCATTCG